TTTTACCAAGGCTAACTGAAGCAGATACTTGTGAAGTCATTGTCATTAGGAGGTGAACTATCTCCAATTTGCTAGACTAATCCTGGATATATGAGGGATATTTTTGCCACTCTGTATTAGGAGAACAACAACAACCATCATAAAAAACAAAAGACATTTAAATTGTTTTATTTAACTAAAACAACAAGCTTATGTATTTTGGAAACTTTTCTTCAACAACAAACACGTATAATTGTTTTAACACCACAAGAATCTGTATTTTTGAATTTAACTATTTTAGTTATAAATGTGAAATGTGTTTTTAACAAAAAATTAAATAGATTATTTCAGTCAGGTCAACACAAGAAACTTAAAATACTGGGTTATGCAACAAACTCAGCCTTCACCTTCCTCTTCCTGTTTATTCACAGACTGGAAAAGACAGTCTGTGAAAGACAAGCTTTCCTGCTTTTTCAGTTCCCAAGTGATTTCTCAATTTAGAATGAATTAGCCTAAAAGAAGAAAATATTTTTCTACACGTGCAGAAGAAACCACTGCTGTTAAACTGGATTATCACTTCAATAATCTGATGGATCCAGGTGCTTAAGTGACTTCCACCAGTTCACTGGTGTGACTTGCTTTAAAACTCATCAGCAAACATATTTCTTGAATGGTTCACCCTTAGCCCTGAAATTTATTATAGTTGGTATTATGGAAGGCAGTTTGCTGGATGCCCTAGTCATAGCCAACTCCTCTTCTTCTGCAGTTAAAGATTGATCCTGGTACTGAGAACGTTGGCAAGAAAATGAGCTGCAGATAGTGCTTGATCCATTTGGGTTTTTTAATGCTTGTAATTTAACTCTGTCATTGAGTATTTCTCTCTTCACGGTCTCACTCGGTTCCTTCCAAATTTCAACAGCATCAGCAATAAAACAGTAATTTCCCTGCACTTTGTTCAAGGCTACGTAAATAGGCTTCAGGGTAGCTAACGTAAGTTCTACATTTCTCTTTAGTTCAGTGCTGAGAACATTGGCTGTGACAGTTCCATCTATTTTGTCATGATTTTATTCAGAAATTGTCATCAGATTAGGCCAGTTCTCAACATATCAATGAAAACAGTCCACTACTGGGCTCCACTGCCCATCTGGTGCGAGAGTTCATTTTGTTCCTTGTACTTTCTCCAGAGCAGCTGCTGCAAAGTGGTTGTTGCAGAAGTATTTTGCAATTTCAGCAACATTAGCCTTTATTTCTACAGCACTGAAGTCTTTGGCTAAGAGGTACATCAAAAGAGTACTACAGCCATATGTTATTGCTTGGGGTTTCTTCACTTTCTTCTCATCTTTGATACATTTGCAGCATGGTCTGTGACAAAGCTGTGTATTAGACATTTGAATTTTTTTTCATAGTTTATTGTAGCTTTTACTGCTACTTCTTGTAAGTATTCTGCTGTGTGTGCGTTTCCTGCTCTATCAATGGTTTCTGTAAGGTAAACAGTCCTTTTTTCTGTTGTCACACAAGCACATATTACTGGATCACTGTGGACATTGTTCCACCCATCAGGACTCAGGTTAACAATTTTCCCCTCTAGCCTTTTTGCACACTGCTCAGTTTCTCTCTCACATACTATATCCAGCAATTTGCCAGCTATATCTGCTCTGTTGAGTGGACTGTATGCTGGTCATAATGACTGAACCATGTCAATGAAGTGTGTGTTCTCAACCACACAGAAAGGAGAGTTTGTTGCATAAACAAACCGAGCAATTTTTTAATCAATTACTTCTTGCTGTCATCTGCTGATTCTTATTCCAAACTTGTCTATGGTTGCCTCTGGATGATGGAGATTTTTTTTCTTTTTGCTACAGGTGATATACTATGTGACATACATTTGACTGAAACACTAGTATCATTAGCAGATAACTGAAACTATAGACAGTGATGATGATGTTGAAGATAGATAGTTGGAAACCTGTATGTTGAAGACGGATCCTCCTGAACAAAAGAAGTCAATGCAGTCACTACAATGCAGCTCGTTTAGTATTACTCATTGAACTCAGTATTGCTTTAGCAATGAACCTGTAAAAGGAAAATCTGCCTATTTCAGCCATTATTTTATGACAACTTCATTAAAAATTATGATAGTTCCATAAAGTAACAACTACATTTTTGCTCGAACATTTTTCTGAGAATTAAAGTCATCCAGAACTGAACCCAGAAGATATAGACAGGAAAGACAAGCAGTTCTTAAGAAAGAAGTATGAAATGAGAAAGTTTACTAACCTGGAAATCCTGCATGTTCAGACATGTTCCATTCATCTTCTTCAAAAGCAGCTTCCTCCTAAGAAGGAGCACTTCTCATGATGTTGTTCCATTCAGGCAACCAGGCCTTGCATTTATTTGTTGCACAGTTTGCATTTTGCATGCATGCCTGTCTCACCCACAGGTAGAGTAACTTCATTAAAGTATTCCCAAACAGGGCCTCTTTTATGGCCTGGCAAACCTGCTGCCATGATAGGTTTTCCCTTCTACCATACCATTCCCTCACTAGATCTCAAATGAGTGGAGAGGCTATAGCCTCAGAAACTTATCCCTCAAGACTTCTGGAATACTCTGCTCAAAATGCCTCTCTTGTTTTGACTACCCCTCCTGCCTTGCATTTATCTTCAGATGCTGCTTCCTTGCCCAGATCTACTCCACCCCAACAATCCTCTATTAATTTAACTTCTTAAAACTCTGTACTTTTAGAGAGCAGTAATGTCTTGACTATGTGTACACAAACTTACAGAGAGACAAGAAGGCTGATGGGTAGGTAATCAGGTCTGTTCTCTCTCATCTCCATATACTACTGTTAACAAGGGTGTTATCTCTGGAGTCACAAATCCACAGTTTGAGAACTGAAACTAAGCATCACAGAGGTGCTTAATGAAATCTTCTAGACTGAGCACTGAGTCCCATTGGGTAGAGTGATTTTTCTTTAATCTTTACTAATCTATAGAGGAGCCTCTGGGAACCCCATAAGATTGAACTCCTAACATAGTCCATGACACATTGTGGCCTGTGTATAAAACTCTACTAAAAAGGTTACATGAATATATTGTCTTGTATAGTATATAATTAGAAATTATAATCCCTATTCCAAGATGATCTCTTTGAGCTTTAACATACCTAAAATTAAAACCATCTTTATGTAGGTTTATTTTTTTAAAGCATCTGTACAAATAAAAATGATTAAATCAAAAAAATCAGATTTAAAATTTTAAAAATCCAATTTTAGTTTTAAAAAAATCACCAATTTTTTTTTATCCACCCTGTCTACTGCATATGCCTAGAGCACAAAAATAAAAATACATCAGATAAGAAAGTAATTAATAAACCCAGATTTCATATCTATAAACAGTATTAGACCTGGTCCTGCTGCCATTGAGGTTGATTGCAAATCTCTCATCATATGATTAAGCAAACAATTTCTCATTAGAAAAGCAAAGGAGAAGGAAACACATTAATATAATAGAAATGTTGCCCAGTTAACATGGCATAAGAAGTTAGGAACTATAGAAAATTCCTACAGCAGCATTAACTGGCCTGCACAGCATAGGATTTTTTTTCCTTTGGATAATAAACAAACAACAATATTGATATATTACAATTTAGGTTTTAAGGTGCATGCAATAAAATAGGCAGATTGTATAATACAGCATATTTAATGTTGCTGTTGGGGCCTTAACTACAAAGTGTATGAAGTTCTGTACATTTAACTGTAAAAAATTTAAATGTGGCACTAATAGTGGACTAGTTCTTACCTTTAAGACACAATGTATCCTGTTTTTTCTAGTCCATATGGAAAACATATAGAAAATGACTGGGACTGTAAAGCCTCTGTGCCTAGTTCACTCCAACTCTTCCCCTGCCCTCCTGATGTACAGAGCTATCCTTGGCGTTGGGACTACAGCTGTGAGCAGTGCAGGCATGAGGGAAGGATGCATCTGCCTTTGATTCTGCTCAACAAGGCTAAAACTCATCACAATCTGGGCCAGATTTTTGGCAGTTAGTGCAGTCAAAAGCCTGTCATTAATATACAACATCACCTCCTCCTCTCTGTGCCACACTTCAAAACTACAGCCTTTCCTTTTAATTTCCCGAGAGATGCCAAGCTAATTGAAGTCTTCTATGTAGCCACAGACCAAAAGCACAGATGCAGCTGTTCAAGCTCCTGCTAAATTTCAGGCCGATGCTGAATTCCTTGGTGTCAAGGAGAAATTTTTTTTGATATCTTCCACTTATCCCAGTCCAACAGGCAGTGCTATAAGAATGGCCCTCCTGACTCCAGCAATCTCTTACTCTTCAAGAAAAGATGTGTTTACAAAAGAGAGAGAAAATAAATTACCTGAGTTTTTCTTACAATAAGGACCTTTACATTTCTCTGGAAATGTAACAGGGGGCCTTAACCATCCAATTTTCAACTTATTTCAGGACAGAGCAAAGGACTTTTGTGTAAAGAAGAATCAGCCCCATCATCTTTGACTCCTAGCTATAAAACCAATATTGCTGTTTTTGTTTTCAGTAAATGCCCAGGATTAGATTTCAAATGGATATGGCAGCAAGGAATGTATTTATTGAATATGAAGCAAACTCATTGTTTGCAGTGACTCTGCCAACTTGAAAACCAGGCATAGCAATTATTTTGCTTTGACAGAATCATGTTTCTCTTTACAGCTGTTCCACATATTTAATTAGGTATTAATCCACCTCCAAGAAATCAGAAAGAGCTAAACTAGAAAACCATTACTTAAGAACATGATTATAAAGCAGGCATTTGAAATTCACTTACTGATACAAGAGCCAGGACAGCCTTCCAGCAAAAACAATCCCTTGGACTTAAGGAAAAAAAATCTCTTCTCCTTAGGGTCAGTCTTTCATCTCTTCCCAGGAGGGAGCAATTTTCTTCAAAACTCCTCCTTAATTGTCCAAAGGGAATCTTTCTGTTACTGCCACATTGTAAAGTTAATGAACTTACCTGTTTACTGAAGGCAAGATGGTATCTGACAAAGATGTACTATTGAACTACCACAATTTACTGATTGCAAACAAGGTATTCCAGCCAACTCCTCTTCATTAAGACCCAAGCATAACTGAAAAAGTGTTGATTATTTCTGATGAGAGTGTAGTTTATCATCGGTTAAGGAGATATTGGCAAGGTGAAAAAAAAAATCAATGTTTTATAGACAGGAAACCTGCTGCAGGCCCAGAACAAATGCTTCCTGCTCACCCCATAAAACAGGCAGGAGGACTTCAGTGGAGAAATTCCACAGTTAAGGAAATAAGGAGCTAACCTTCTCCTGGTAGGCAGGTGCATATATGGTTGGTTGTTTCTTTGAAGTTTCTCAGAGGTCTCGAATGTCAGATAAAGGCCAAATCTATGCTACAGACTTCTGGTAGTCCCACAGTGGCACTCAAGGATGTGAAAAAGTGTAATCCCTGACACATACAGCTGTACTGTGTGAAGCCCATAGTGACTGACACAGCGACGACAGCAAAAATAAACATTTATAAATCATAGCCAATTTCACTTGTCGAGAGTCTTTTGCTTGTCTGGTTTAGCATCCACATTAATAATACTTAGCCAGAATAATATATTGGTATTTCTATACTGGAAAAAACACTCATACTATAGACACAGGCTGTGTCTCAGGGGAGATGAAGAGAAGAAAGGGTTGTGTTCAACTGACCTGTAACTGCAATTTATCACATGGCCTTTACCCCTACTATGTGGGCTATATGTATACCAGGGGTGGGCAAAATGCAGCCTGCGGGCCAGATGCAGCCCGCCAGGCCATTCTATCCGGCCCGTGGGGCCCCTAAAAAATTTAGAAAATTAATATTTATCTGCCCTGGGCTGCCTGTCACGTGGCCCTCAATGCCAAAACTCAGTAAGCGACCCTCTGCCCAAAATAATTGCCTGCCCTGATGGATACAAATGTTCACCTCTACCAGAAGTGTTTCTCCAAAGCAGACCATCCCAGTCCCACTCTCCTCAGCCAGGAGGAGGGAAGTCATTGAAGTTATATGAATGATCAGTTTGATGTTTGATTGCAGTTCTGAAAAAAAAACCCCAAAAAAAGGTTATTTCAGCTTCACCCAAAACAAAAATTCGTCAAAATTTTGTTTCACTAGAAATGTTGGGGAAAAGAGTCATTAAGGTCAAACAAGATATTTCATGTCATTTGCTGAGCTGTTTTGAATGCTTTGTTCTTTTAGCTTGAAGTAAATTTCAAAACGAGGCATGATTTTCAATCAAAAACTTTAAAATGTTTCATTTAGAAAATGCTGAAATGAAATATTTTTACTTTTTTCAGCATTTTGACACTTGTTTTCTTCAGCTGCAACAATTTGGCCAAATGAACGCAAATTCAAAACATACTTCTGTAAACCCAAACCTTCCATTCTAAAGAACAAAACAGTTTTGGATGAAAAACTGCTTCCAGCTGTAGTGGCCAGGGGCTTTCACTAGAGTTTTTAAATGAAGGAGATGCTGCCTATATCTTCTGGGCTTCCAGGAAGACCAAGATGCACTCTTAAAGGTCTATATTTGATTTTATTTAAGTATGAAATCATATAGCCTGGTTTATGGGCGTAAGTGTTAGGACTAGATTGTGAAACCCATTGAAAAGCTCATACTGATCACATAAATAAGAATTTTAGCATTGAGCTAAGAAAAGGAGAGGAGACATTTAGCATTATCAAATGTTATTGAAAGAGGAGACATTTAGCATTATCAAAATTCTACATTGTGACCCACAAAAACCACTTCCTTCACTGCAGTCCTCTGGATAATAATCATAAGTCATTTATAAACATTGAATAGCTACTAAAGAATACTCTTTTGTGTTCATATTTCTGTAGCAAAGGGTGAATGAGCAGTCAGTCATACAAAATGAGCATGGCTGTTTGAAGATGAAGAACCTCCTGTGATTGACCCTGCTCAGAGACACTTTGCCATAGAAAAACAGACAAACAAAAAAAAGCAGCCTTCAACCACTCGCAAGAAATATAGATATGATCCTGCGGGCTCAGGAACATTCACAAAATCTTCAGCTTGTGGTGTGCTCTGAGTCATTACTTTACTTAAACATCAATTCAAGAGCAGGAATTAACATAGGCTAAACATGTGAGGCACTATCAGTACACAGGAAACTTAAAGGAAAGCGTAAGCTAATCTAAAGGCCAAGTTTCATTTATGCAGTGAAAAAACTTCTTCTGTACATGGCTGTGTTCAACTTCAGCTGGATGCCAAACCTCACATCTCATGATGTGACAAGGTGTGCTTTCTGATGAATAAGTCTGAAATGCATTTCAAAGCAGATGGAAGCCAAAGCAGAGTAGTCATAAATAAAAGGACCATTTCAGATGCAGATGATAAAAATGAGGGGATTATGATTTCACACCAAAATTACTTAAAAATAAAAAGCTTTTTTGAAACCACAGTTGATGGCAATATTGAAAGGGCTCTGACAGGAATAATTTATATCCTACCTCTGAAGCTGCAACCAAAGAGACAGCGTGACATCAGCACCTGAGCAAAGCTCTAGGAGCCAAGGTGCTCTTCTAATCAGTGAGGAAAGTTGGACTTGTGGTTATTACTATTCCTATTGCAGAAACAGGAATGCACAGGCAGGGACAAGAACCACATGGTGCTAGGCACTACGTAAACACTGACCACAAGCAAAGACCCCAAAGTGCTTACGATGTGAGGGCAGATCTAAACTGCAGACGACTGTGGAATGAAGATATGCTCAAGTTAGCTATAAACA